CCATATTTGGTTTATCTCCTTCCTCCCCTCTTTCATGTATATTCACACTTTTTTTCTGAACCATGGGAAAGTGATGTCATGAATGCTGTCTTTTTTTTTTTATTTCAGCATATTATGGGGGTACAGATTTTAAGGTTGAATGCTGTCTTTTTAAAAAAATGACATTGGGTTATGCTCGGTGTAGAGAAACACTGTTGGTTTTTGTCTTTTTTTTTTTTTTATTAAAATATATAGAAAAAATTAGCCGGGCATGGTGGCGCATGCCTGTAGTCCCAGCTACTCGTGAGGCCGAGGCAGGAGGATCGCTTGAGCCCAGGAGTTTGAGGTTGCTGTGATCTAGGCTGACGCCACACACTCTAGCCTGGGCAACAGAGTGAGACTCTATCTCAAAAAAAAAGAAAAGAAAAGAAATGGAAACCAGGATTATTTGCCATAAATTGAAAGACATATAAATACAAGTATAATGAAATCAAAACAATGTTCTCAGATGCTAGCTAGACACTTTTGCCTAGCCATGGCCCTGAGCCAAGGTCTGAACCTTTTGCTTAAATAACCTGTTAGGCTGGTATGAAGGTAGTGAATTATCTCACTTGATTGTTCACAGTCTATTACAGATAGAACTCCTTGTTCTGCTACTTTCCTTCTCACTACTGTACTTGACTAGTCTTGAAAGAAAGAAAGAAAGAAAGAAAGAAAGAAAGAAAGAAAGAAAGAAGAAAGAAAGAAAGAAAGAAAGAAAGAAAGAAAGAAAGAAAGAAAGAAAGAAAGAAAGAAAGAAAGAGAGAGCTAGGAGTGGTCACGCCTGCAATCCTAACACTCTGGGAGGCCGAGGCGGGAGGATTGCTCAAGGTCAGGAGTTCAAGACCAGCCTGAACAAGAGAGAGACCCGCCTCTACTAAAAATAGAAAGAAATCAATTGGCCAACTAAAAATACATAGAAAAAATTAGCTGGGCATGGTAGCACATGCCTGTAGTCCCAGCTACTCGGGAGGCTGAGGCAGGAGGATTGCTTGAGCCCAGGAGTTTGAGGCTGCTGTGAGGTAGGCTGACGCCACAGACCTCCAGCCCGGGCAACACAGCGAGACTCTGTCTCACTCTGTTGGATTTTGTATGTTGATCTTAAATCTGACAACCTTGTTACAAGGATGCTGGCATTTTTTTTTTTAACCATAACTGCAATTAGAATTACATCTTATATCACAATCCTATATATATTTTTTTCAAGACAGTCTCGCTCTATTGCACGGGTTAGATAGAGTACAGTGGCATCATCATAGCTCACAGCAACCCCAAACTCCTGGGCTCAAGCAATCCTCCTGCCTCAGCCTCCCGAGTAGCTGGAACTATAGGTGCGAGCCACCATGCCCAGCTAATTTTTTCTAATTTTAGTAGAGACAAGGTCTCTCTCACTCTTGCTCAGGCTGGTCTTGAACTCCTGACCTCAAGTGATCCTCCCGCTTCGGCCTCCCAGAGTGCTAGGATTATAGGGATGAGCCACCGTGCCCAGCCATGATCCTATATCTTTACTGTCTGTCATTCACTTGATATTTCTATTGTATTTTTTTTTCTTTTGAGATGGAATCTTGCTCTGTTGCCCAGGCTGGACTGCAGTGGTGTCATCATAGCTTACAGCAACCTCAAACTCCTGGGCTCACGCCATCCTCCTGCCTAGTAGCTGGGACTACAGGCACATGCCACCATGCTCAGCTAATTTTTTCTGTTTTTAATAGAGACAGAGTCTTACCCTTGCTTAGGCTGGTCCCGAACTCCTGAGCTCAAGTGATCCAGAGTGCTAGGATTACAGGTGTGAGCCACCACACCTGGCCTGTTGACACTTAAAAAAATGACTTTTCCTGACTTCTTGTTACTACTATATAGAATTATTGATTCTTGCACATTGATTTTCTCAATCTGGAAAACCTGATACTTTTCTTTCTTTTTTTCTTCCTTTCTCCCTTCCCTTTTCTTTCTTTTGCCCCAGAATTGACACATCAAAATGTATTATTGTATTTTAAAGTATTTTTCTTTTATTTATATTTTATGCTACAATTAAAGCATTGCATTGCCTTTTTAAAGATATGTTTGTGGACAGATTGTATTACCTAAGAATTTCAATTCAGGATGGGGAGGGTGGCATTAAGTTGTTAAAGAAAGGGAAGTTGCTTCTCATAGGGTTATAAACTTCTGAGGTTTTGAAATTTTTCTTTCTTTTTTCCAATCATTATGTTTTCATATCTTTTCTTGTCTTGCTTTTCTCTCAAGTTCTGAACAATGTGGAACAAAAGTGGTGATAATGTGCACATCTCGTCTTGTTCCTAACCTCAAACAAAATGCTTCTAAATGCTTTCACCTTTTACTAAAATTTTCTTTAAAATCACGAATGGATGTTGATTTTATCAAACCTTTTCCCCACAGCATCTGAAATGCTCATATATCTCTTGATGTACTACATTGACCTTCCTGCTTTATTCATATATTTTGATTGTCTTCTAATGTTAAACCCATCTGGAATTTCTGGGATAAAGCCGTCTGGGTTCTGATAAATTCTCCTTTTTACCTGTCACTGCATTTCGTCTGCTAGCCCTTTCGTGTAGGATTTTTGCATCCAGATTCGTGAGGCAGGCTTTCCCCTGCTCGCGGGGTCCCTGGGAGCTTTGAGTATCAAAGTCACGCTGGCCTCACGAAGGGAGTCGGGGGCACTCGTTCGCGGGCTGCTCCTGGGATCCGCGGGGTGCGGGGTGCGGGGTGCAGGGCGGGAGAGCCGCGTGCGAGGCGCGCCCTCTGGCGGCCGCAGGGCTCATCAGCAGAGGAGCGGCTAGGTGCCCGCCTTGCCATGGCCATGCCAGTGACCCGCCAGGTGGCACCAAATGGTGCCAGCGCTGAGCGGGCCGAGCGGCCATCCCTGGGCCTGGACACGGGAGCAACCCATCTTCAAAGCGGGGTGCCCAGGACCCAGAGTCATTCAGCAGATCCATAACTGTGGCTTCCCGACCTTTCTGAGCTGTGAAGTTCCTGAATCTTAATCTCTTTTTCCAGTAAAATGGGGATAATTCACCTGCTTGTCAGGGAAATGGAAGTTTTCAAAGCCCTTTCCTGAGTGCTTTTGTGACACAGTGAATTGCATCAAAGCACAATTCAGAGTTTCCAGAGGACACCTCCGCATTCTGGCCTCAGCGTTCTTGTTTTCTTGTCTCTTGGAAGCACTTGACAAATGGCAGCTAGGGGCAGGGAATTCGGGATTAATGATATTTAATTATCAAGAATGAAAGTCCACACTGGGGAGGTCTGTACAAAGGAAGCACATTTCTTCATTTATTCATTTTTGTTCATTATTTCATTATTCATTTATTCTACATATATTTATCAGGCACTGTGGTAGGGAGAATAATGGCCACCCAAAGTGGTCCACACCCTAATCCCTGAAGATATTAGGTTACATGACAGAGGGAAATAAGGTTGCAGATGGAACGAAGGTTGCCAATCAGCCGACTTTAAGATGGGAAGGTAATCCTGGATCACCCAGGTGGGCCCACGGTAATCACCGCATCCTTAGAAGTGGAAGGGGAAGGTAGAAGAGTCGGGGAGATTTGGCTACAGAAGCAAGACACAGAGAGACGCAGCATTGCTGGTCTTGATGGGGCCTCTAGAAGCGGGAAAGGGCAAAGAAACGGATTCTCCTCTGGAGCGTCCGGTAAGGAACGAAGTCCTGCCAACGCCTTGACTTTAACCCAGTGAGACCAGTGTCGGATGATGGAGCCGTAGGTTACAAAATGGGTGTGGTTTTAAATCGCCAACTTTCTAGGAATGTGTTACAGCAGCAGTAGGAAACTAACTGTCCTTACAGACGCATCCCACACCATCGGGACAGATGGGCCCTCACCCACTCAATCATTCCCCCTAAAGCATTTCCTATTCGCCATGGGCTGCTCAGAAGGGAGGCCAGCAAGGGAAGAGTGGCTGTGAGCACTGGGGGTCCATGGCTAGGGCTGCAGCGAGGTCATTTAGACATTCCATCTCCTCCTGCCTCCTTCCACCTCCCAGAGTTGACAGTAAGCATTCAGTATGACAGTGTCTTTCCATGTGGTTTACAGAGGATTCCACGGGCCCCTGCATGGATCCATCATCACCGTGGGAAGAGCAGCTCAGAGAGGTGAGAGGGGCTGCTCTAGTTCCCAGCGTGGGAGTGATGGGACTTGTCATTGGTTCCTTCTGAGTAAACCCGTGCCAGCCCTGATGTAAACCAGACATGGGCCCTCAATCTGGGAGCAGCCTGTCTAGTTGGGGAGAAAAAAGGGATCAGATGGACACATTAGGGTACTTAAGTGCTATGGTCTGAGTGTTTATGCTTCCCCAAATTCATATGTTGAAATCATGCCCCTCAGGGTGATTAGCTCATGAGGGCAGAACCCTCATGGATTAGTGCCCTTACAAAAGAGGCCCTCAGGACTGGGTCCTGAGGTGGCTCACACCTGTAATTCCAGCACTTTGGTAGGCTGAGGCCAGAAGATTGCCTGACACCAGGAGTTTGAGACCAGCCTGGGAAACCTAGCAAGACCTCCATCTCTATAAAAAATTTTAAAAATTAGCTGGGCCTGGCAGTAACTGTAGTCACCTGTAGGCCTGTAGCCCCAGCTACTCAGGAGGCTGAGGTGGGAGGATTGTTTGAACTTAGGAGTTCGAGGCTGCAGTGAGCTATGATCATGCTGCTGCATTCCAGTCTGGGTGCCAAAGACCTCACCTCTTAAACAAACAGAAAAAAGCCCTTGGGAGCTCATTTGGCCCTTCCACCATGTGAAGACACAGCTAGAAGGTGGTGAGTAATGGGAACTTGCCAGACCTGGAATGCTGGGAACTTGACCCTGGACTTCCCGGCTTCCAGAACTATGAGACATAAATGTTTATGGTTTATAACCTGCCCAGTTTATGGTATTTTTATTGTAGCAATCCAAACAGACTAAAACACTAGGAGGACAAAGCTGCTATAACAAAGAAACAGAGGCTCAAAATACATAAAAGTTTATTGTCTTCCTCAGTAGTCTGAGCTGAGCATTCCAAGTCAGCCCCGCCAGCTCTGCCCTGCGCAGTAACACAGAAACCTTCACGGTTTCCTGCTCTCCTCTAGGCCAGTGGCTCTGACCAGGGTGAATTTGGCAATGCCTGGACATGCTTTTGGTTGTCATTACTCAGGTGTGATACCTGTATCTAGTGGGTAGAGGACAGGGATGCTACTAAATGTTTCACAATGCACAGGATAGTCCCCCACAACAAACCACTGCCCCGCTCAAAATGCTCATAGTTGGGGAGCCCTGGCTTAGGCCTGGAGAGTTGTCCTCACCTGCAAAGTCAGAGCTGGGTCAATAGTGCATCCATGTTCCAGCCCAGGGGAAGGGGGAAGTGAGCACAGGTGGGCCTGGGGCCAGGGGTGGTGCTCCTCATGTCCACTCACGGCTGCTGGAGGGAGCCCCCTCACATGGCCACAGCTAACTGCGGGCGGGGCAGGGAGGCAGGCAATGTAGCCTAGGTGCGTGCTCAGGAGGTGGGAGTGGCAGATTTGGTGGCCAGCTAGTGGCCTCCATCACAGGCTTCCTAATGATATGAGAGACAGGGATGGTGGTGGTGGTTGGGGGACATTTAGGTAACCAGGTCAGAGCTTGTGCAAAGATGGGGAGGCAGGAGAGAGCCCGACAAAGCAGGGGTGCCGCAAGTGGTCGGCCTGGATGGGATCCGACAGTGGGGAGGAACGGCGAGGATAAGGATGGAGAGGTGAGTAAAAGCCAGGCTGCAGGAAGCTCAAGTGCTGCCTGAGGAGTCTGGGCTTCGTCCAGAAGGTGGGGAAAGGCGTTTGCCCAGCCTCCTTCCTCCTTGAAAGTTGAGATCTTCTCATCTGTCTTGCATAGTCGGGACCTTGGTCACACACATTTCTGGCTGCCCTTAAGCTGCTTGATTGCCTACTTTACCAAGATGACTGGCAGCTGCTGGAGGTCAGGACCACTGTCTGGTCCTCAGAGCCCCTGTCACTGTCCACTGCAGACCCTCCAGCCACCCCTGACACTCCCTGACTGTTGTCCACCACAGTCTCACATGCCCCCACCGTTAGACACGGTTCTGCACGCTGGCCTCCACAGGCTTCCCCAGCCCCCACCGTGGTCCTCCCAGGCCACTGCCCCAGGCCCTGACCCTGGCAAGGAGCCTGTCTTTGCGGCCTGCGAGTGGGTGCTGGCCGGCAGGTGTGCATGGGTAGGACCCGAACAGCCAATAGCTTTGGTCAGGGTGAGTGTGGATGGGACTGCAGATAGTGTGTTGTCCACGAATGTCCACGTGGCTCTGGATTAGTCACTGTCCCGACTGGGGCGCAGATTTCCACTTTGCAGCGTGGATTTTGACCTCGCAGGGGTCCTGAGGCAGTGGGGGGAGGAAGGCTGCCAGATGCCCCTCCGCCACAAGTGACGGCTGGTCTCTGGGACGGGATCCATCTGACGACTGTCAGCCCAGCTCCCGCTCCAGCGTCTGCAGAGGAGACCACGGAAACGGCAACTCGTATTTGTACCGCACTTGCCCCACTGCACAACGACCGCAGTGCGGGAGGTAGGTGTACCGGAAGGCTGGTAGAGGGGCACTGGAGCTGGTTTGCAAGGACGAACAGGCGTTCCTAGCTCGGTGGCCCGCAAGCCTCGCTGCACATTAGAATCACCTGAGGAACTTAAAAAATACCTACATGTCTGGGGCCACCCAGACCAATAAAACCAAAACTCTGGCGATGGGCCAGTACGTAGGTATTTCCCACCTCCCTACCCCCACCTCGCCGGCTGATTTCAATGCGCAGCCAGGGTTCAGATGCACATAGCCGGTGGCAGGACAGAAGGTAGCCAGGGCAGGAGAGAGGCGTTCTCAGCACGGACACCCTCCCGTGGTGCGGCCTGGGGGCTGAGGCCGCTCAACCACCCAGCTGCGCACCCGGCCTCAGGAGACCCTGCGTCTCTGGCCACAGCTCAGCGCGGGGTTGTGCAGCGCCTTCCACATGAGCAGCATCTCGTAGGGCACGAAGCGGTGCACCAGCAGCAGGTCGCGGTACATGCAGGGGTCGAAGGAGGGCTGCTGGGCGCCGGGCAGCTGCACGCCGAAGGGCCGGATGCCTTCGTGGCCGCTGGGCGCCAGGCCGGCGCGCTCCAGGCACATGCCCATGTAGGCGTCGTCGATGGGGAAGAGCGGCGTGTGCTGGGCGGCCGTGCGCAGGGCGCTGGCCGTGGCTCTGGACAGGAGGAAGCCGCCGCCGCTGCAGTACACAGGGTAGGCCGGCCCCGGGAAGAGCTGCGGCGGCACAAAGTACTTGCTCCGGCTGTCCCGGATGGGCACGGAGCCGTGCATGAGCTGCCCGGTGAAGAGGTGGCGGTCGGGCGGCTGCGCCTGCAGGAAGCTGACCACGTTGGCGGTGTGCACGAAGACGTCGTCGTCGCCGCTGAGCAGGAAGCGCGCGTGCGGGCAGCGCGCCGCCAGCCAGTCGAGCAGGAGCACGTGCTTGAGTGTCAGGTTGAGGAAGGTGTCGGCGAAGGCCCACTGCAGCACGTCGCCGTGCTCGCGCGCCTCCAGCGCCACCAGCGCCGCCAGCCGCTCGGCGCGCGCCGCGTCCTCCGGGGCCGCGGTGCCCAGCAGGAAGAGGCGGCGCACAGGCCGCCCGCCGTAGCTGCGCTCCTGCCCCCACGTGCGCCGGATGAGCTCGCGCCGCTCGTAGTGCGCGGGCGACGACTTCACGGCCAGGAGCAGGAAGACGCCGCGGCCGCCCGCGCACTTGGCCGGCGCGTCCCAGAGCAGCGGGAAGCGGAGGCAGTGGCGGTAGCGCAGGAAGTCTTGCATCCGCGCGGGCAGCTGCTCGAAGTCGGCCGTGGTGCTCGCCGAAGAGTTGGCCGCGCACTGCGGTCCCGGTCCCGGGTAGGGCACCGCGGGCTGCGTGGCGGCCGCATCGGTGGGGCCGTCCCGCCTCTCCTCCTGCTGCTGCTGGGACCCCGGGGCTTGGAGGAGCCACTGCTGCAGTGCCAAGAAGCTCATGCCCGCCAGCAGGCAGGCCAGAGTCTTGAGGTTTACGGACCTGCGGCTGGGAAAAGCCATCTGTGGGGGAAACTGAGGTAGAGGTGAGCCAGGAGTCGTCTTTGACATCAGCGGGACACTCCCCTTCCCTCGTCACTTCTCTGCCAGAACCCAGCCCCATCCCCTTCTTAGCTCTGCTGTTAAAGAGGTAAAAAGGAACCAAAATTCAAGATTACATGGAAGCATGTCAGGCCTCCCACAGTGCAGAGTGCTCCTCTGACCTTCAGATCTGTGCACCTCATTGCCTCCAGACACCACTCCCCACCCCTCATGTCACCTAGGCCCGCAGACCCCAGACCCATCATGGCCAAAGTCCAAGTCACTGTCTTCCAGCGACCCCATATCTTGCTTTTCTCACTTCAGTAAATGCTACTGAAGTTCACCCAGTTGCCCCACCCAGAAGCCCTGATTCTTTCACCCTCCTGGGCTTGTATCCATCCTCCACATCCAGTTTGTTCCCTCCTCTCCATCTCTGCCAAGCCTGGATCCTCTCTGATCTATTTCCCTGTTGCCACCAGTCTGGGACGCATGAAGTGACAGCACTGGACTGAGACCTATGTCAACATTCCAGCTTCACCCCTTACAACTGCACTGTCTGAACAAGTCAATTCAGATGTCTGGGTCTGAGGGTTCTCATCTATAACAAAGGGTTAGTAAATTCCTACTCTGCAGGGGTGTTCTGAGCATTTAATGAGCATGAATTGGCCAGTGAATGAATGACATCAATAATATGACCTTTCCGGTGTCCTCTAGCTCCATCTCCTAATTCTACCCGCTGGTATTGTTTGGTGTTCTCCAAACATGCAAAGCCGGCCCTCTCCTGAAGGTATCCTGTCCAGGTGCACCTCAAGCCTGGATTTCATGAAGACCTCCCAGGACAAATCCCAGATCATAACCACCTTTCCAGTATTTAACTGTATCCTGCTAAATTCAGTCACATCAGGTTGTGCATCTCAAACCACTCCCTTCTTAAAACAGACCCCACACTCCCCTGGCTTTCCTCCTTCCTCTTTGACTACAGCTTTAAGTTCCCTTTGCTTGATTTCCCCTCTCTGATAACCCTTAATAGTGGAAAGTCAGTGGGGCACGGTGGCTCATGCTTGTAATACTAGTACTCTGGGAGGCCAAGGCAGGAGATGGGTTGACCTCAGGAATTCAAGACTAGACTGAGCAAGAGCAAGACCCTGTCTCTACTAAAAATAGAAAAAAATTCTGCCAGGCATGGTGGTGTGTGGCTGTAGTCCCAGCTACTCAAGAGGCTGAGGCAGGAGGATCTCTTGAGCCCAGGAATTTGAGGTTGTGGTAAGCTGGGCTGATACCATGCCACTCTAGCCTGGGCAACAGAGTGAGATTGTATCTCAAAAAAAAAAAATGTGGAAAGTCTCCAGGGTTCTGTCTTAGGCACTCATTTCACCATTGTCCAAAATGGTTTCCTTCACCATTAGGGCATCCAAGCTCCAGAGCCATATGTCCAACAAGCCACCTGTTACTTAACTGCTCATTGTGGCTGTCCACAGCCACCTGGAATGAACCTGAACTCTCTTCTTTCTCACATCTGCCCCAGAGTGCTACCATCCACAAGGAAACACCCCAAAGGTAGGAAGAGGTTTGGTAGTCAGAGGCTGTGGCTTGGCTCATGGTCTCAAGTGATCTTCCCAGCTGGGCCTCCCATAGTGCTAGAATTACAGGTGTGAGCCACCATGTATGGCCGCAATAAATTTTTTCTTCAGTGAATGAAAGAATAAAAAAATGAATGAAAACAGAATTTGGAGTCTGAATAATGGGGCCTCCGTCCCACCTCCCTTCATTACTTAGTTAACCTCCTAGGTTTTAGTTTTCTATCTGAAAATTGAGAAAGTTATAACACCACTTCTTAATGATATAACAAAATAAAAATTTTGTTAATGCTAAAGTGCCATATATATCTAGTTTAAAAATATTAAAAAGCATTCTTCCCTCGAAATCATTTCTAGAAAGAAAAATAATCTGTCTTAATGCAGCAATAAATCTTGCTTCAAAGAAACTTGCATTTACTTTGATACAACTGAACCTGGATCACAACCAACTTTTGATATTAAAAATAAGAAAAAGGTGTTGGGCCAGGCTCTGTTGCTGAGGGCGGCACTAGCTTGCTCAGCCCTGTTCTTGGATGTGGCACTGCGTAGCGCAGGGTCTTTCACTGGCTGTGAAAGCTAGGGCATTCTCTCTGTGGTTCCTTTTGGTGGGTGCCCCTGTTTCTCAAAGCACTCCTCCAGGCACCCTGGAGCCCCTGCCCCTTAAGTTTTCCCAGCCTCTGCTGGCCCTGATCCCTTGTCTCTCAGGTCTCAGCTTAAGTGCCACCTCTTCTAGGTCACCCCCTGGTAGGTCCAGGTCAACAGAACCTGTCTCCTTACTAATGCCACGGCTGCAGACTAGCAAAGTTGGTAAAAGAGGACAGATCTGCCACTTACCCAACCCTTTTGAATCTTAGGTTCCTTGTTTGTGGGACTTTGGGCAACTTATTTATCTCAGTGTCTCAGGATTATAAAAGTTAATTCATGTAAGGCACTTAGAACTGTGCGTGGCATGAAGTAATTACCACAGTAACATTAGCAATTAGCTAACACAGGATGTCATCTTTTTATGGATTAAGTCTGGCCTTCTCACATAGTATGGTATAAAGTTTCTTTGTGATCCTCTAATTGCTAGTCTTTCTGTTTACTGTTCCACACATATTAACATACCCGTTTATTGCTTGCCTTTCCAGTGCTATTTACTCTGCCTAAAAATCCCTACTCCCCAACTTCTTTACTACTCTCCCCAGAGCTATCTTGGTTATTCCTTTCTCTGGCTCAATGCCAAGAGAGGGATGGCTGGAACACAGATTCCAGTCCCCCACCAGCTCCCTACCACCTCCTGGTATTCCTGGGGGAATATATGCACAGCAGATATGACAGGCAAGGAAACCTTTTATTACTTGTTAGTGCTTTGGCCCCAACCCCCATGATGAAGCCCTAACCCCTCGGGCTCCACTGCACCTGTGCAGTAAGGGCAACTTTCGTCCTGGTTCCTTTCCCCGGCCTCCCTCTGCTTCTTGCTTGGCACTCCAAAGACAGGAAGAAAATGCACCTCCCTCCCAATAGGAAGAAGCCCAGCCCCCATCTTACCTCAAGTGTCTGAGAGAGAAGAGACAAGCGCCATCCCCAGACTGGGACCAACCTCTAACCTCTTTGTTTCACACACTGAGGTTCTACCCCCCAGGACTGTGGCTTAGTTTAATATTCTTGAATCTGACCAATCCATGACATCACTCCTCCTCCTTAGGGCTAGGGTGAAGAGGAGGAGGGCAGATACAAGCTTCCTTAGCCAACAGGGACTGCCTGCTTACACTTTAAGCAGGCACTCTTCAGCTCAAATGTCCTTACTGCATGTATCAAAGGAATCTTCTTGGAGGAGGATGTCCTCAATGTAATGTGGTACCTGTGCTCCTGGAGAAGGTGGGTGCCGTTAAGACCTTGTCTGCAAAGATTGTGTGTGATATGTGGTGACAAACCTCACGTGGAGGTCCCCTATGAGTAGCCTGGAAAGGTGCATTGTGCCCCTCAGGGGTGCAGGCTGACTGCAGCTGAGGGGCTGTTGGAATAGGCACTGAACAGGTTAGCCACAACTATGAGAGCAAAATATTTACCAGTCATTGATTAAAGAAAATCAGCATAATTTTTAATAATATTAGGTATTAGGTATGAGGCCCTAGTGGATGGGAGACCACAGGGTTAGGGTTGTAGTAATCTGTCATAGGGCACTCTTTTGTATTTTTTTTTCCAGATTTGAGAACAGGCAAAATTGGGCTATTAAGAAGCAGTGAGGATAATTACCCCCTTTTAACTTAGGTTTTATGTATTATAATAAGTTTTAATCTTGAAGGCCCTGCTTTAACTTACATTGGGACATACTAACTATTTTAACTAGGGGTTCATGGAGTCCCATTTTAGCAAGCCAATTTGTAAGTGATGAAGGGTTACTTTAATTTTATTATTAGTCATCTATGCCCAATATAGAATATTTTACAGCAATGGGTATATGCCTATGGGAAATTTAGGCAATGCTATAGTTAAAGTGAGGCATACTCACTAAAAATATTTTGCATTTGGTTACTTTCTCAAGATTATAGGGGCAGAGATTTTAAATTAGTGGGATCCCCAGGTACAATTATAATTTGAGCCACAGTATTAAGTTTTGTCAATTAGTACATTTTAACAAATGTTAAGTTAGAACCTATAGCTGGGCACAGTGGCTCACTCACTGCTGGGGCACTTTGGGAGACTGAGGCAGGAGGATCATTGGAGCTCAGAAATCACCTGCAACCCCAATAATTTCAGGTGAATCCCCAAGGCAACACTTAAAACAGCTGTTAAGTGGTGGCACAGCAGTGTGAACCGCCAGCAAGCACTAGTGTCGTCCCAGACTGAGTTGGCTGGCTGATACAGAAAGTTAGTAAGCCATTCATAGCGGACAGATGTTCAGATTGTGTCCAAGCCACAACCTCATTCCTGCCAACTACACTAATTGTTTCCAATGAAACTCTTTGAGTTCTCTATCAACTTAGCTGGTGGCTGCTGGAGACAACAGCAATGAGTTAAGCTGATAGAGAAACTCAAGTTTCCTTCAAAACAGCCTCCTCATAGCTTGGTGACTTAGTGGATTTTCTGTGAGAATGTTCACCCCTCAGGCTCCTTGTCTTTCTTAATAATTTAGAGGGGTCTCGGGTAGGGTCTGGATGAAGAAAGAGGGGTAAGGATGAAGGGGGTAGAGATGGTGGGAGGAAGGGGGAAAGAAAGGGAGGGGTGGAGTGTAGGTTTTAGCTGGGGATGGTGATATGTCTAGATCAGGGAAGCCCAAAGACTCACTGGCATATGTCTTCTGGGAAATTTGGAAATGAATTGAAGCAGGGAGAAAGTTAAAAGAGGGTAAGATTATTGGAGTAAAATGAACAGACTTTCAGCCAGAGAGCTATGACCTCTCTAGTTAGTGAGATGTACATAGTGGGTGTCTGTGGCACCGTGGCTTTGGAAAGGTATGTTATGTTCAGAGTTGGAATTAGGGCAATCCTAAGTCCTTTACAATGGGTGGGTGTTTCAATCTAGTGTAAAAAGTCTCAGTCCAGTGCCTGTTCTACCACACCTTAGTGAGAAACACTGGGGTGGGATAAGGCAGAAGAATCTATCCCCACCTCCAAGACAAAAAGGTTCTGTAGGCACAGGCCAGCACCT